TCGAATCTCCCAGCAATTTGACGCCAGCCTTATCCATCAGGAGAACACAAGTGGAATGTAATTAATTAGCCGGATCGAATTAATTTCACCGATACAGTCGGAGATTGGGTGAGACATACGATCGCAGGTAAAAACTGGCAGACAAGACGATTGACGTCTGAGGAAGGGGGACGTCTATAGAACGGAGCACGTCTGAAGAATGATAGACGCCACATTCATGTTCTCGTCTGTCTTTTGGAGTTAGCTGGATGACGTGGTACGTTATCAGGATAAAAGGTGTAAGGACGTACGGGGGTAGGTAGGACGTATGGGGGGGGGGACAGGACGTACGGGGGGGGAGTCAGGTCGTACGGGGAGTCAGGACGTACGGGGAGTCAGGACGTACGGGGGGAGGGGGGGGGGTCAGGACGTACGGGGGTGGGTAGGACGTACGGGGGGGGGCATGACCTACGCGGAGTCAGGAAGTTTAGGAAGGGACCGCTGAAAGATCTTGCTGTTTTAAATCACAATTTTGTGCTAAAACGACATTAGCTTTTAAGCTCTGTACAAATTCATGATTAGAACTTTAACTACACACGCAATCACGTGATCTGTTAACCCAGATAAAAAGTTTCAGACCAGTACAGATATCTAAATCTACATGGCATCCTGTCAGTGGAATATGTCACTGTGTCACAGTGGTCTGTGTGTGACAGTAGTCTGTGTGACAGTGGTGTGTGACAGTGGTGTGTGTAAGTGGTGTGTGTGAGTGGTCTGTGTAACAGTGGTCAGTGTGACAGTGGTCAGTGTAACAGTGGTCAGTGTGACAGTGACCTTCAGTATGACAATTGAATGATCATCAGTAGGACCATTGAATGGCCTTCAGTAGGACCGTTTAATGACCTTCAGGAGGACAATTGGATGACCTTCAATAGGACCGTTAAATGACCCTCAGTAGGACAATTGAATGACCTTCAATAGGCCCATTGAATAACCTTTAGTAGGACCGCTGAATGACCTTCAGCAGCACCATTGAATGACCTTCAGAAGGACGATCGAATGACCTTCGGTAGGACCGCTGAATGACCTTTATTAGGACCATTGAAGCAATGAAATCATTAGCGGCGTGTTGCTGTCGCGTCACCTGAACGACTTGTTGTCAAAGAGAATTCCACTCACCCTCATCCTGACCGGCACCCGAACACAACCAGGCTATCGCACGTGCGTCCGTGAGTGAGTGTTTGCACGTGTTTATCGCTTCACAGATCCGTCAAGCTTGTATGGAGGGGGGGGGGGGGGACATGAAACTGATCCTCCGGTCGCCTTTGTTTCAAGCTGCGATTAATTCTTCTCTGCTGGTATCAGATGTGTGAGATCACAACAACAGCAGCAAACTGGTGGTGAGTTCACAACAACAACAGCATCAACTTGCTGGTGAGTTTATAGAACAACAGCATCAACTTGTTGGTGAGTTCACACAACAGCAACAGCATCAACATGCTGGTGAGTTTACAGAACAACAGCATCAACTTGTTGGTGAGTTCACACAACAACAACAGCATCAACTTGCTGGTGAGTTCACACAACAACAGCATCAACTTGTTGGTGAGTTCACACAACAACGGCAGCAACTTGGTGGATAGAATGGGTAAATGGTTCAGTGGAGAAAATGATGTTGTGAGAACTGACCACTAAGATGCTGTTGTTCTTTTGAAAAGTCACCACATTTCCGATTACCGGAAAGCTCTCAAAAGATAAATGTAATTTCATAGAATAGTTATATATATATATATATATATATATATATATATATATATATATATATATATATATATATATATATATATATATATATATATATATATATATATATATATATAATTTCATCAATATAACTGAAATGGTACTCAAGTTCACATTCACACACACACACACACACGTATACACAGACTTACATAAAAAATGCCAAAGTAAGCTTTTCCGACTTAAGGAGGTGTAAAACAATTACACTTTCTCTATACTTCGTATACAAGAAAGTAGAAATGAGGCTACCATGTTAGCCGTGAAACTATGGGTACAGTGCTAGGGGAGCAGTAGAACCATGGGTACAGTGGGAGGACTAGACTAGACCTGGAGCAGTAGAACCATGGGTACAGTGGGGGGGGGGGCTAGACTAGACCTGGAGCAGTAGAACCATGGGTACAGTGGGGGGGGGGGGCTAGACTAGACCTGGAGCAGTAGAACCATGGGTACAGTGGGAGGGGGGGCTAGACTAGACCTGGAGCAGTAGAACCATGGGTACAATGGGAGGGCTAGACTAGACCTGGAGCAGTAGAACCATGGGTCCAGTGGGGGGGGGGGGGGGCTAGACTAGACCTGGAGCAGTAGAACCAACAGCCATTCTTCCAGCTGCCGATAAAAAACCTTATCTCCCCCCACCCCCCGGTCCAATATCCCAGGGTTTACAAACCGAGTTCCCCCTAGGCTCGAGCAGCTTAACTGGACCAGCTGTTCTTCCTGACGGGGCTCATTTCCCCACCCTGCCGCCGCCCTGGCCAGGAAATAGACTCCCAGCAGACCTTTACATACCCGCCCCTTAGTTGCCGGTTGACCATTTCATAATCTAAAATCGTGAACTACACTAAATATATTGAACTAATGAGGTACAGATTTGTTTTCGGCTTAACAATGATGTAGGTACTTGAAGCATTCAACAACGCGACTAATTTAAGATTTATCTGTTTGCAACAAGTGGTGCCTGACTCATCCTGATGAACAAACTGTCGGTGATGGACGCTGTTTTATAGATGACAGAGATGATGTGTTAGATGACAGAGACGATGTTGTGTTAGATGATAGAGGCGATGTTGTGGTAGATGATAGAGTTGATGTTGTGTAAGATGATAGAGACGATGTTCTGTTAGATGATAGAGGCGATAGTGTGGTAGATGACAGAGTTGATGTGTTAGATGATAGTGGCAATGTTGTGTTAGATGATAGAGGCGATGTTGTGGTAGATAACAAAAACGATGTTGTGTTAGATAACAAGGACGATGATATGCTAGATAAGACGAGGAAATGCACTTAAGGCCAATCACCAATCTTGATGAATATCAAGTTCTCTGCTCTCTGGGAGGCGTATCTTGATTTGTAATGTATTGCTAATAATTAATGAGCTACGTAGATGGGTTAAGTGCCATAGAATGATAGGGTTATGGTTGTGTTTAGGGTTAGGGTTAGTGTTTGTGTTTGTTTTAGGGTTAGGGTTAAAGTTAATGTTTGTTTTAGGGTTAGGGTTAAAGTTAGGGTTGAGATAAATTTGGGGTTAGTGTTACGGTTGAAGTTAGGGTTTGGGTTAAGGTTAGGATTAAAGTTAGTGTTACGGTTAGGGTTTGGCTTAAGGTCAGGATTATAGTTAGGGTAAGGGTTACGTTTGGGTTGACTTTGTGTCAAAGCTGGAAAATGAATCGATTGGAACTTTGTAGCTTAACATTCACGGCGTACGTCAGAGGCATTATGACCAGAATAAAATGCCGCTTGTTGGTCAAAAATGACCTCCCCTAACGTCAGTAAAAGTAATGCCCTTTGTTGGTAAAAAACAACAAAAAAGCCCATTAAAAACTATGCCATCAGGTGAATTTAAACTAAAAAAACAAACCTTTTAGCATTAGCTGTTTGAATTCACAGCCACATTTCACCACACACAATTTTAGCATTAATTAAACATTTTTTTAGCAAGTCCCTAATTCAGGTCGGATAACTCTGCAGATCTTAATCCAAGACCAGCAACTGTATGAGGGTATTCAAGAAGGATAACCCTAGAAAACCAGAAGGATAACTATGATATATCGATATTTCACGTAAAAGACAGTTGTGGTTCTTTTATGGCTTGCACTCAGATGACTTTATAAGCAGACAGTTCTGGGTTGTTTCAGTCAAATGTGCATTAGAGTTTGTTTTGTTTTGACAAGTCAGTTCCTAGGATTATTGTGGGATTATTTCAGTCAAGTGTGCATTAGAGTTTGTTTTGTTTTGACAAGTCAGTTCCTAGGATTATTGTGGGATTATTTCAGTCAAGTGTGCATTAGAGTTTGTTTTGTTTTGACAAGTGTGTTAGAGTTTGTTTTGTTTTGACAAGTCAGTTCCTAGGATTGTTGTGTGATTATTTCAGTCAAATGTGCATTAGAGTTTGTTTTGTTTTGACAAGTCAGTTCCTAAGATTATTGTGGGATTATTTCAGTCAAGTATGCATTAGAGTTTGTTTTGTTTTGACAAGTCAGTTCCTAGGATTATGTAACCACAAGGATGTTGTAACCACAATAATATTATAACTTTGTAATTTTTTATAATTTTAATGTTATTTGCTGAACAGAAGGAAGGGACGGCCCTCACACTTATAAGGTTTTCCAGGCATTGTTTATAAAGTATATAGCTAGAAATACATGGCTAACAAGGAAATAGAGATACAGAAGCACGAGGATGCTACTAAAGAAAAGCATAGAGTCAAGATTGAGATAATAAGAAAGGAAACAGAAAATGCTGAAATGAATGCATTAGGAAAAGAGGCTGGAGTTATCTAAATACTTGTGTACCAAAATACTGGCTGTTCTATTATGAGGATGAGTTGTTTAATAACCTGAGTATTTATAAGTTTTCTAGGATAGTACGAATTAAAGAATGTTTAACGGTAAAAAAAAAAAAATTACCAGCCGGTATTTTAAACGTAACGAACTAGTACAATAGAATCGGTTATGCCCGTGTGCCGGGTATAAGTTGGATGGACACGGCTTAGAAAAGCTGAGAAAAATATGTTCAAACTTAGGGTCACATATTGTATCGGTACATTAGGCAAGATTCAAACTGGTTTTTACATTAGGGTCACATATTGTATCGGTACATTAGGCAAGATTCAAACTGGTTTTTACATTAGGGTCACATATTATAGCACGGGGTTGGGGGGGGGAGCATTTTAAACTTGCTTTAAAAGACAAACTTTGTAGAATAGGGGAAAAAATTCTTACCTGAGACAATCGGATAGCGCAGACAAATATTAGCAGACGAAAGGCAAAATTGACATCAGAATATACACGCTCGTCCCTGTAGTTCGCTGTTGTGTTATCTATCAATTAAATTCCAATATTGCTTATCTTTGTTCAACAAAAGTTCTATTGTCTTAAGAAATCGTACAACAGTTCGCCTGCAGCTAATATTTTGTTGGAATAGTCTGAAAAACTTGTTTAGCTGTTTGTTACAATTTTCTTTCCTTGTCTCGCCCGTAGCTTTCTCTACTTAGCAAATTAAACAACCAAACTACCAGCATCAAAGACCCGCTCGAAAAAGTCTAATTCTTCAAAAAAAGTTGGCTCCAAAACATTTATAGGCGGCAGCGGGAGGAAGCATCTACCCCCTCGAAAGCTGGGCATTGGTTGGCTGGCGGCGGGCGATAGCGGGCGCCACCCACGTGCGCATGCGCAGTGAGGCAGGCGCCGAATCGGTGTGCGAGTGAGAGGGTGAAGCAAGATTTCCCAATCCTGGAATCTGACTCGTCTCAGAGAATCTGACTTGTCTCAGAGAATCTGACTTGTCTCAGAGAATCTAACTCGTCTCAGAGAATCTGACTTGCCTCAGAGAATCTGACTCGTCTCAGAGAATCTAACTCGTCTCAGAGAATCTAACTCGTCTCAGAGAATCTGACTTGCCTCAGAGAATCTGACTCGTCTCAGAGAATCTAACTCGTCTCAGAGAATCTAACTCGTCTCAGAGAATCTAACTCGTCTCAGAGAATCTAACTCGTCTCAGAGAATCTAACTCGTCTCAGAGAATCTAACTCGTCTCAGAGAATCTAACTCGTCTCAGAGAATCTAACTCGTCTCAGAGAATCTAACTTGTCTCAGAGAATCTAACTCGTCTCAGAGAATCTAACTCGTCTCAGAGAATCTGACTTGTCTCAGAGAATCTGACTCGTCTCAGAGAATCTGACTTGTCTCAGAGAATCTAACTTGTCTCAGAGAATCTAACTCGTCTCAGAGAATCTGACTTGTCTCAGAGAATCTGACTTGTCTCAGAGAATCTGACTCGTCTCAGAGAATCTGACTTGTCTCAGAGAATCTAACTTGTCTCAGAGAATCTAACTGGTCTCAGAGAATCTAACTTGTCTCAGAGAATCTAACTGGTCTCAGAGAATCTAACTCGTCTCAGAGAATCTAACTCGTCTCAGAGGATCTAACTCGTCTCAGAGAATCTAACTCGTCTCCTCAGAGAATCTGACTTGTCTCAGAGAATCTAACTGGTCTCAGAGAATCTGACTTGTCTCAGAGAATCTAACTGGTCTCAGAGAATCTAAATCGTCTCAGAGAATCTAACTCGTCTCAGAGGATCTAACTCGTCTCAGAGAATCTAACTCGTCTCAGAGAATCTGACTTGTCTCAGAGGATATAACTCGTCTCAGAGAATCTAACTCGTCTCAGAGAATCTAACTCGTCTCAGAGAATCTAACTCGTCTCAGAGAATCTAACTCGTCTCAGAGAATCTAACTCGTCTCAGAGAATCTGACTTGTCTCAGAGAATCTAACTCGTCTCAGAGAATCTGACTTGTCTCAGAGAATCTAACTTGTCTCAGAGAATCTAACTCGTCTCAGAGAATCTAACTCGTCTCAGAGAATCTAACTCGTCTCAGAGAATCTAACTTGTCTCAGAGAATCTAACTTGTCTCAGAGAATCTAACTCGTCTCAGAGAATCTAACTCGTCTCAGAGAATCTAACTCGTCTCAGAGAATCTAACTCGTCTCAGAGAATCTAACTTGTCTCAGAGAATCTAACTTGTCTCAGAGAATCTAACTCGTCTCAGAGAATCTAACTTGTCTCAGAGAATCTAACTCGTCTCAGAGAATCTAACTTGTCTCAGAGAATCTAACTCGTCTCAGAGAATCTGACTTGCCTCAGAGAATCTGACTCGTCTCAGAGAATCTAACTCGTCTCAGAGAATCTAACTCGTCTCAGAGAATCTAACTCGTCTCAGAGAATCTAACTCGTCTCAGAGAATCTAACTCGTCTCAGAGAATCTAACTCGTCTCAGAGAATCTAACTTGTCTCAGAGAATCTAACTCGTCTCAGAGAATCTAACTCGTCTCAGAGAATCTAACTCGTCTCAGAGAATCTAACTTGTCTCAAATAATCTAACTCGTCTCAGAGAATCTAACTCGTCTCAGAGAATCTGACTTGTCTCAGAGAATCTGACTTGTCTCACAGAATCTAACTCGTCTCAGAGAATCTAACTCGTCTCAGAGAATCTGACTCGTCTCAGAGAATCTAACTCGTCTCAGAGAATCTGACTTGTCTCAGAGAATCTGACTCGTCTCAGAGAATCTGACTCGTCTCAGAGAATCTGACTTGTCTCAGAGAATCTGACTTGTCTCAGAGAATCTGACTCGTCTCAGAGAATCTGACTTGTCTCAGAGAATCTAACTTGTCTCAGAGAATCTAACTCGTCTCAGAGAATCTGACTGGTCTCAGAGAATCTGACTTGTCTCAGAGAATCTGACTCGTCTCAGAGAATCTGACTTGTCTCAGAGAATCTAACTTGTCTCAGAGAATCTAACTGGTCTCAGAGAATCTAACTTGTCTCAGAGAATCTAACTGGTCTCAGAGAATCTAACTCGTCTCAGAGAATCTTACTCGTCTCAGAGGATCTAACTCGTCTCAGAGAATCTAACTCGTCTCAGAGAATCTGACTTGTCTCAGAGAATCTAACTGGTCTCAGAGAATCTGACTTGTCTCAGAGAATCTAAATGGTCTCAGAGAATCTAACTCGTCTCAGAGAATCTAACTCGTCTCAGAGGATCTAACTCGTCTCAGAGGATCTAACTCGTCTCAGAGAATCTGACTTGTCTCAGAGAATCTAACTTGTCTCAGAGAATCTAACTGGTCTCAGAGAATCTAACTTGTCTCAGAGAATCTAACTGGTCTCAGAGAATCTAACTCGTCTCAGAGAATCTAACTCGTCTCAGAGGATCTAACTCGTCTCAGAGAATCTAACTCGTCTCAGAGAATCTGACTTGTCTCAGAGGATCTAACTCGTCTCAGAGAATCTAACTCGTCTCAGAGAATCTAACTCGTCTCAGAGAATCTAACTCGTCTCAAAGAATCTAACTCGTCTCAGAGAATCTAACTCGTCTCAGAGAATCTGACTTGTCTCAGAGAATCTAACTCGTCTCAGAGAATCTGACTTGTCTCAGAGAATCTAACTTGTCTCAGAGAATCTAACTCGTCTCAGAGAATCTAACTCGTCTCAGAGAATCTAACTCGTCTCAGAGAATCTAACTTGTCTCAGAGAATCTAACTTGTCTCAGAGAATCTAACTCGTCTCAGAGAATCTAACTCGTCTCAGAGAATCTAACTCGTCTCAGAGAATCTAACTCGTCTCAGAGAATCTAACTCGTCTCAGAGAATCTGACTTGACTCACAGAATCTGACTTGTCTCAGAGAATCTAACTCGTCTCAGAGAATCTAACTCGTCTCAGAGAATCTAACTCGTCTCAGAGAATCTAACTCGTCTCAGAGAATCTAACTCGTCTCAGAGAATCTAACTCGTCTCACAGAATCTGACTTGTCTCAGAAATCCCAAATGTATATCTCCGCTGAACTTTGAGACAAAGATTCTAATTTTTCCAAATCTGTTCGGACACCAACAGTGTAACAACAATCTCCGACATGGCCCAACTGTCACAACAATCTCCGACATGGCCCAACTGTTACAACAATCTCCGACATGGCCCAACTGTTACAACAATCTCCGACATGGCCCAACTCTGGCCACAACAATCTCCGACATGGCCCAACTGTTACAACAATCTCCGACATGGCCCAACTGTTACAACAATCTCTGACATGGCCCAACTGTTACAACAATCTCCGACATGGCCCAACTGTTACAACAATCTCCGACATGGCCCAACTGTTACAACAATCTCCGACATGGCCCAACTCTGGCCACAACAATCTCCGACATGGCCCAACTGTTACAACAATCTCCGACATGGCCCAACTCTGGCCACAACAATCTCCGACATGGCCCAACTGTTACAACAATCTCCGACATGACCCAACTGTCACAACAATCTCCGACATGACCCAACTGTTACAACAATCTCCGACATGGCCCAACTGTCACAACAATCTCCGACATGGCCCAACTGTTACAACAATCTCCGACATGGCCCAACTGTTACAACAATCTCCGACATGGCCCAACTCTGGCCACAACAATCTCCGACATGGCCCAACTGTTACAACAATCTCCGACATGGCCCAACTGTTACAACAATCTCTGACATGGCCCAACTGTTACAACAATCTCCGACATGGCCCAACTGTTACAACAATCTCCGACATGGCCCAACTGTTACAACAATCTCCGACATGACCCAACTGTCACAACAATCTCCGACATGGCCCAACTGTCACAACAATCTCCGACATGGCCCAACTCTGGCCACAACAATCTCCGACATGGCCCAACTGTTACAACAATCTCCGACATGGCCCAACTCTGGCCACAACAATCTCCGACATGGCCCAACTGTTACAACAATCTCCGACATGGCCCAACTGTTACAACAATCTCCGACATGGCCCAACTCTGGCCACAACAATCTCCGACATGGCTTAACTGTTACAACAATCTCCGACAAGTCCCAACTCTGGCCACAATAAATATCTTCCAAACTTTCTATCTCTGTAATAAATAGGCCTACACAATGTACGAGCTAAGTAAAGACAAATGTCCTTGGTCCTGACTAAATACAGGCACATTCCCACGTAACAAACAAACATATTTCGTTGCTAAATCAAGTTAGACAGACGTGTACTAGACTAGACCAACAATAGACGTGTACTAGACCAACAATAGATGTGTACTAGACCAACCATAGACGTGAAATAGACCAACCTTAGATGTGTACTAGACCAACTATAGACGTGTACTAGACCAACTATAGACGTGTACTAGACCAACCATAGACGTGTACTAGACCAACCATAGACGTGTACTAGACCAACCATAGATGTGTACTAGACCAACCATAGACGTGTACTAGACTAGACCAACAACAGACGTGTACTAGACTAGACCAACCATAGACGTGTACTAGACTAGACCAACAACAGACGTGTACTAGACCAACCATAGACGTGTACTAGACTAGACCAACCATAGACGTGTACTAGACCAACCATAGACGTGTACTAGACTAGACCAACCATAGACGTGTACTAGACTAGACCAACCATAGACGTGTACTAGACTAGACCAACAACAGATGTGTACTAGACCAACCATAGACGTGTACTAGCCTAGACCAACCATAGACGTGTACTAGACTAGAC